TCGGCTGAGAGGCCCTATGAATTTCCCTATACAAAGTCTTTAGAAGCTTGGAAAGTTTAACAAAGTTCTTTATTGGTGCAACAAATCAGTCAAATACTTCTTAGATCTTCAACAAATCAACCAAATATTTCTTAACTTGTCCACAATGGACAGGCAACTAGCTTCATGAACTGTTTCTTTCTTCTATGAGGGAAATCCTTTTGACCCCTCCCTGGGCAATCTGTCTTTTAGGCTTAGCTGGCGTGGGGCCCTACTCCCGGTTCCAATTTGCTTTATGGGTACCCGAGTAGACCTTACCGGCTAAAACTCTGAAGATTTTCCAGCTGGAGTCCTTTGGATTTTTTCCACGAATGCTGTGGATCTGTTTCTTTAACCCCAACAAGGGCTGTGCTGTATTTCTTAGTAAAGCTGTGAGAATTGTCTTCCCCAGCCAAGCTTGTAAGAAACGAAGCTTTTCTACAGGAGGGAAAAACTCACACGTCCTGTAGTTGGGCTTCAAACTGTAAGACTGAACAAACTGTCCCCTTTTTCCCTCCTGAACCTGGGGAAAAGGGCGGTTCCAAAAGCCCCAACGATGATAGGCAGGCTGCTAGCCTATGACTGCAGCCTGGGGAAAGCTGCTTAACTGCAAAATGCCTGGCTAACAGAAACACGTGCAAACTAACCATGCATAGAAAAAGAAAATTTAGCTTCTGGCACAGCTGTGCCAGCACATGTGGACTTTGTTTTTATGGACTTTGCTGAACTTTACCCTGGACTATTTTTGTTCTTGTTTATCTTCTTACCTAATTGGATTTACCTATTTCTTTAAAGTGCTTTTTTACTTGCTGCTTTCAAATTATCTTCAATGAAAGGATAGTTTTCCAGTCAACGCTGTGGTGTTTACAGTCAGAGGGCTTTTCCTGTCCTGGAGTGCAACAGTTTGCTTGACATTTGCACATGGTTATTTTGGTATGTTTAATGCAGATTCTTGGGCCAGAATTCCTTTACTTCAATGGGGTTTGCTTTTACCAGCAGTTTCACGTATCCAAGCGAAGCCCAGCAAACTGTGGATATTCAGGTTGTACCATGGTAAACACAAGTAAACTGTGATGTTGCTGCCTAGTTTGCGGCTCAGATGCAAATGTTGATAAGTAAATTCTCTCTTTCTCAAGGCTCTTTAGATTTCACTGGATGAGCCTTCAAGCAGAGAAAAAGATGGAAGCCTGAGTCCCCAAATAGAAACCTTTGCCTATGAACAGCGCTCTGACAGAATACATATTTCACAGAAGGCAAGCCAATTTTCTCCTTCTAAAAAAATAATTAATTTCCCCAAATTAATAGGAAGATCAACCCCTAAATTAACTTCTTCCAGATTCATTACTCAACTCCATTCCTGTTCCATTAATTTTCAATCACTTTATCTACCATTTGCCAGACAAGTTACCTCTCCTTCCATTAAAGCAGTTTTAGGGGATGTATAAGGAAAGGTGCTGGTCTCCAGATGTCCACTGCTTTTAATTCCTTCTGAATATAATGCTTTTCAGCCTGTATGTTCTTTTTAAAAATTCATGTAAAAATGGCAGAGAACGTGTCTACATATGCAAAATAATAAAGGCCCATCACTCCATTGAGATGGATTTTTTTACTACTGTTCAGCTCTATTTTTGTCAGCAGCATGAATTACCAGTAATTTTAAAAATACTCCTTGCATTATTATTATTAACTGGTTGTCACACAATTCAGAAACAATCTAAACTAAACTGCATTTATGTCACCTATTTATAGCATAACTAGCTGTACCCACCATGTGTTGCTGTGACAACACCCTCCTCTTTCTCTCCTTTTTTTCTCTCCTTCCTTCCTCTTTCTCTCCATCTTTCTTTCTCTCCTTCCTTCCTTCCCTTCCTCTTTATCTCCATCTTTCTTTCTCTCCTTCCTTCCATTCCTCTTTATCTCAGTCTTTCTTTCTCTCCTTCCTTCCTCCCCTTCCTCTTTTCCTTTCTTTCTCTCCTTCCTTCCTTCTTCTCTCCATCTTTCTTTCTCTCCTTCCTTCCTTCCTTCTCTTCATCTTTCTTCCTCTTCCTTCCTTCCCTTCTCTTTTCCTCTTTCTTTCTTCCTTCCTTCCTTCCTTTCCTTCCTCCCTTCCTTCCTTTCTTCCTTTCTTTTCTTCTTTCTTCCTTCCTTCCTTTCCTCTTTCTTCTTTCTTTCTTTCCTTCCCCCCCCTCTTTCTCTCTTTTCTCTCTTCTTCCTCTTTCCTTCCTCCCCCCTTTTTCTTTTCCTTCCTTTTTTCTTCTTCCTTCCTTCTCCTTCTCTATCTCTTTTCCTCCTTTGGTTCCGTCCTTCCTTCATTCTCTCTTTCCTTCCCTCCCTCCTTCCTTCTTTTTCTTCCTCCTTCTCTCCATCATTCCTTCCCTAGACATAGGCAGCACTTGAGAGAGGTATGTCCTTGCTTTCTGCAGAGCAAGGATTCCATGGTTAGTAAGCCGGGCATCTGCATCTGTATTGTCATTCAGCTTTTGGGGTTTTTTAAGTCCTTTCTGCTGCTTGAGGTGGGTGGGTTATGAGTGGTGGCCACTCATTGGTCTGTTAAGAGTGTATTGTGTCCAAATTTCGTGTCAATTTGCCCAGTGATTTTTGATTATGTTAATCCCACAAACGAACGTTACATTTTTATTTATATAGATGTTGTAAATAAGTTTTTATTTGCACGTATTCCTGCTGATGTAAACTGAACTTCCCGACAATGCACAACATGCTTGCTTGTTAAGATCTGGCACTGGACTTGACAACTGATTGGCTAAAACTTTTGAGTGTTCATTTGGAATATAACATTAGATCTTAGAAATGCTATATAGGACTAGAGGTCCCATTTGTAAAGGATATACAAAGGTATCGCTTTTAAAAAGAGCTGCCACTACAGTTTGAGGAGTGGTTCTCATGCCAACTCTCCCCATTCTTTCATAGAATCAAAGAGTTGGAAGAGACCTCATGGGCCATCCAGTCCAACCCCCTGCCAAGAAGCAGGAATATTGCATTCAAATCACCCCTGACAGATGGCCATCCAGCCTCTGTTTAAAAGCTTCCAAAGAAGGAGCCTCCACCACACTCCAGGGCAGAGAGTTCCACTGCTGAACGGCTCTCACAGTCAGGAAGTTCTTCCTCATGTTCAGATGGATTCTCCTTTCTTGTAGTTTGAAGCCATTGTTCCTTGTCCTAATCTCCATGGAAGAAGTTCTGTCGTTGGTGGGGTTCAGAATGCTCTGATTGTAGGTGAACTATAAATCCCAGTAACTACAACTCCCAAATGTTAAGGTCTGTTTCCCCAAACTCCATCTGTGTTCACATTTGGGCATATTGAGTATTTGTGCCAAGTGTGGTCCAGATCCATCATTATTTGAGTCCATAGTGCTCTCTAGATGTAGGTGAACTACAACTCCCAAACACAAGATCAATGCCTACCAAACCCTTCTAGTGTTTTCTGTTGGTCAGAGGAGTCTTGTGTGCCAAGTTTGGTTCAATTCCATCGTTGGTGGAGTTCAGAATGCTCTTTGATTATAGGTGAACTATAAATCCCAACAACTACAACTCCCAAATGACAAAATCATAAATTTTTGAGCGATGGTCACTCCTTGTGATGTGAGACGTTTCGTTGCCAAATTTGGTGTGATTTCGTTCATTGGTTCTTTTGTTTTTAAGATACTCATTATGCACAGAGCATTTGTATTTATATAGATTGGCATAGTACAATATCAGTACTATATTTTAACTATATTGTATTATTCCATTATATTGTAATATTATTAGTAGTATTACATGACATATAACTATATAATTATAATATCATATTATTATTAGTAGTAGTATATTGTATTACATTACAATATTATAAATATGATATGTGCCCAAGCCTGGCTTAAACCTATATTAATGCAGTTAAGAAATAGAACTGTTGTTCAAAAGAATACATTTATTTGACCAACTAAAAATGCACAAATCCAACTTACACACTTTTTGCAAATCCTCTTGCCTTGACTGCGCACGCGCATACAAAGCCAGACTGAAACTTGAGAAGGTTAAAAAAAAGGAATGCGAGCCAGCCAATCAATGCACTGGAAGCAGAGATAGACTCCGCCCTCTTTTAAACCCCACCCTTTTTAATGCCTCTCAGAAAGAAGCGTGTTCTAAAGCCACGCCCCCTAGAAGGAAAGGGCCGGCGAAGCAGACGGGGAGAGCCGAACCGCGCGTGCGCAAAGCCATGTCCCTACTAACTTTTTTCTCCCACCTATACTACCTTCGTGCTGTGATTGGCTGAGCCCCGCTGGTTGATTTGCATATTTAACACGCCCCCTCTCTGAGTTTCACCTTCCTCTTTTACTTCCCCCAAACTGTCGCGACAAGTTCTTACATAGGATTGAATGAGGAGGAGAAAAGGACGGGATTGGTGGTAAGGCCGGTGACGTCAGAGCGGCTCCCTCCCTTGTCTCCGCTCCCTCTTTCAACTAACTGTGCGAGCGCGAGACAAGTTCTTATATAGGAGGAGGAGGAGAGAAGGGGATTGGTTGTTAGGCGGGTGACGTCAGAGCAGTCCGTCCCCTTGTCTCCGCCCCCTCTTTCAACTCTCCAACTGTCGTGCAAGCGCGAGACAAGTTCTTATATAGGAGGAGGAGGAGAGAAGGGGATTGGTTGCTAGGCGGGTGACGTCAGAGCGGTCCCTTCCGTAGCCCCGCCCCCTCTTTCAACTGTCGTGCGAGCGCGAGACAAGTTCTTATATAGGGAGGAGGAAGAGAAGAGAACGGGATTGGCGGTTAGGCCGGTGACGTCAAGTAGCCCCTCCCCTTTTCAACTCCCCAACTTGTGCGAGCGCTTATAGCTGGGAGGGAGGTGGAGGAGAGAAGGAGTTGAACGGGATTGGCTGTTAGGCCGGTGACGCCGCGTAGCCCCGCCCCCTCTTTCAACTCTCCCAACTGCCGTGCGAGCTCGGAGACTTCTTTTATGTGGGGAGGGGGGGGGGGGGGGGGGAGGGGGGGAGGAGGAGGAGGAAGAAGAGGACACAACGCGATTGGTTGCTAGGCTCGTGACGTCAGGCAGCCGGGAAAAGGAAGAAGGGGGAGCGCGAGAGCGGAGACGCGGAAAAGGTCAAACTCAAGACGAGGAGGAGACGCGCGAGGAGGAGGAGGAGGAGGGCCACGCGCGCAGCAGGTACGGCGAGGGGAGGAGCTTGCCCGTGGCCACGCCCCCTTTCTCCTTGAAGGGGGGCAGTGACGGGGGGGGCTCGAGAGTTTCTTCCTTTGGAGGGACTTGAGGGGGGGAGGGGGAGCCATGTTGGGGGACCCTTCTGTGCCCTTCTGCTCTTCTCCACTGTCCTATCCCCACATCTCTTAGGCTCCAAACTGCCACCTCTCCCTCCAGGCCCATCTTGTCTTCACCCCTCACTTTGGACCTCAGTTCTGCCTTGGTTTACATCAGGCCTGGGCCAACTTTGGCCTTCCCTCCAGGTGTTTTGGACTTCAATTCCCAAAATTCCTCAAGTGGGCACCACAATTGAAGGGAGATGTTCATAAGCTGGAATGTGTCCAGAAGAGGCAACTGAAATGATCAAGGGTCTGGGCAACAAGCCCTATGAGGAGCGGCTTAAGTTCGCCCGTACCTTGGGAAGCCAGATTTGGCCACAGTGGCCCATGCTCTCGTTACATCCCGAATAGATTACTGCAACGCACCCTACGTGGGGTTGCCTTTGAAGACTGTTCAGAAACTTCAATTAGTCCAGCGGGCGGCAGCCAGAATACTCACCGGAGCTTCATACAGAGAGCATACCACCCTCCACTGGCTGCCAATCCAGTTCCGAGCACAATTCAAAGTGCTGGTTTTGACCTACAAAACTCTATACGGCTCCGGTCCGGCGTATCTGTCCGAACGCAACCGGAGCGTCATACAGAGAGCATACCACCCCCCTGTTATGTCAGCTCCACTGGCTGCCAAACCAGTTCCGAGCACAATTCAAAGTGCTGGTTTTGACCTACAAAACCCTATACGGCTCCGGTCCTGCGTATCTGTCCGAATGGATCTCCCTCTATGTCCCACCTCGGAATTTGAGATCATCTGGGGAGACCTGCTGTCGACCCCACCTCTATCACAAGTGAGGCTGGTGGGGACGAGGAGCAGGGCCTTCTCAGTGGTGGCCCCTCGGCTGTGGAACTCACTCCTTGGGGATATTAGATCATCAACATCCCTCCTCTCCTTTAGAAGGAAATTAAAAATGTGGTTATGGGACCAGGCCTTCGGGCAATCTGGCAGTTAAGGAAAATGGACGACTAGAATTGACAGGACTGACAATGTGGAATTGAAACTATGGACTATGAGACGGCGAACGCTGAGTGTTAAACTGGTTTATTGACGTGTTGTAGAACTGAGAACCGACTGTTTAATTGTTTTTAATTGTTTGATTGCTGCTATATTGTTTTATTTTATTGTTGTATTGATGCCGGCATCGAATTGTGCCTTTGTAAGCCGCTCTGAGTTCCCCCCGGGGTGAGAAGGGCGGGGTAGAAATATTTGAAATAATAAATTAAAGAGCTGGGCATGTTTAGCCTTGTCTCCTCTTCTATGGTAATAATATATTGTATAAACGTATAATATTTATAATATTTTAACATAATGTAATATACTACTGCTAATAATAAAAGGTTAAAGTTTCCCCCTGACATGAACTCCAGTTGTGTCCCACTCTGTGGTGTGGTGCTCACCTCCATTTCTAAGCCGAAGAGCCGACGTTGTCCATAGACACCTCCAAGGTCATGTGGTCTGCATGACTGCATAAAGAGCCATTACCTTTCTACCGGAGCGGTAGAATCATAGAATCAAAGAGTTGGAAGAGACCTCATGGGCCATCCAGTCCAACCCCCTGCCAAGAAGCAGGAATATTGCATTCAAATCACCCCTGACAGATGGCCATCCAGCCTCTGTTTAAAAGCTTCCAAAGAAGGAGCCTCCACCACACTCCGGGGCAGAGAGTTCCACTGCTGAACGGCTCTCACAGTCAGGAAGTTCTTCTTCATGTTCAGATGGAATCTCCTTTTGTAGTTTGAAGCCATTGTTCCTTGTCCTAATCTCCATGGAAGCAGAAAACAAGCTTGCTCCCTCCTCCCTGTGGCTTCCTCTCACATATTTATACATGGCTATCATATCTCCTCTCAGCCTTCTCTTCTTCAGGCTAAACATGCCCAGCTCCTTAAGTCGCTCCTCATAGGGCTTGTTCTCCAGACCTTTTATCATTTTAGTCGCTCTCCTCTGGACACATTCCATCTTGTCAATATCTCTCTTGAATTATGGTGCCCAGAATTGGACACAATATTCCAGGTGTGGTCTAACCAAAGCAGAATACGTACCTATTGATCTACTCACATTTGCATGTTTTCGAACTGCTAGGCTGGCAGAAGCTGGGGCTGACAGTGGAAGCTCACCCCACCACCCTTTTGGTCAACAAGCTCAGCACTTTAACCCACTGCGCCACCGGGGGCTCAAACTGCTAACAATATGATATTATAAATATATATTTATATTACATGTAATATTGCTAATAATATTACTATATAATGGTATACTACAATATCATAATATTTAATACTGATATTGTACTATGCTAATAATATAATATATTGTGTATATCTATATCTATATATCTTCCCTTTCTGGGTGAGAAGGGCGGCATATAAATGTCATAAATAGATAAATAAATAGCCTGAAGAAGAGAAGGCTGAGAGGAGACATGATAGCCATGTATAAATATGTGAGGGGAAGTCATAGGGAGGAGGGAGCAAGCATGTTTCTGCTTCCCTGGAGATTAGGATGCAGAACAATGGCTTCAAACTACAAGAAAGGAGATTCCATCTGAACATTAGGAAGAAGTTGACCCAGGCCTGGTTTGCATTTAGCCAATGGAGTGACTTTAAGTTGGGTGTAATGTGCTCTCTCCCCTAGATGTTCCCGTAATCAACCTACCTGCTGTATTTTATTTATTTATTTATTTATTTGCAGCTTTTATATTCCGCCCTTCTCACCCTGCAGGGGACTCAGGGCGGATGACAGTGTACACATATATGGCAAACATTCAATGCCAATTTTAACATACAACATATACAGACATACACAAAGGCTATTTAACTTTTTCTGGCCACCAGGGAAGCTGTCGCTTTAATCGTCCATCTGCGACGCTGATGAAGCACTTCCGCAGTGTGTGCAATACCATCTTCAGATCCACCTAGGTCCAAAACTAGGAAGAGGCACAGCTGTTGGGTGAGCTGAACCTGATAGTAAGCTAAGCACATCTTTTCCTCCACTTCTCTCATCATGACACGACTTCTCTTTTGATCCTGTATCACCACATCTTTTCTCTTTAACTCCTATAATGCCCCTTCTCCCTTGACTTCCACATTAATGCAGTTTTCCTCGTAACTCCCACATCACCACATCTTTGATCGCGGCTCCCATATTGCCATATGTTCTTCCTCAAGTTCCATATTGCATCAACTTCTGTCTCGGCAAATACAGTGGCACCTCCATTGCCACAAGCCCACCATTGCTATGTACCCTCTTCTTAACTGCCCCAATCCCCTAATCTTATCCCTTAGAACAGTAGTTCTCAACCTGTGGGTCACCAAGTGGCCTACAACACCCAGAAATTGCATCCAGTTTACCAGCTGTTTGGATTTCTAGGAGTTGAACACCAGAACATCTGAGAACCACTGTCTTAGACCCGCACAGCTGTTTAAAATATTATCTGCTTTGAACAGGATCATCTGGCACTGTGGATCAATCATAGAGACCTCATGGGCCATCCAGTCCAGCTGCCTGCCAAGGAGCAGGAAAATCACATTCAAAGCACCCCTGACAGACGACCATCCAGCCTCTGTTTAAAAGTCTCCAAAGAAGGAGCCTCCACCACACTCCAGGGTAGAGAGTTCCACTGCTGAACAGCTCTCACCATGAGGAAGTTCTTCCTAATGTTTGGATGGAATCTCCTTAGCTGTCATTTGAAGCCATTGCTCCGCATCCTAGCCTCCAAGACAGCAGAAAACAAGCCTGCTCCTTCCTCCCTATGACTTCCCCCACATATGTATACATGGCCATCATGTTTCCTCTCAGCCTTCTCTTCTTCAGGCTAAACATACCCAACTCTTTAAGCCACTCCTCATAGGGCTTGTTCTCTAGACCCTTGATCATTTTAGGCATCCTCCTCTGGACACAGTTCAAATCAGATATTGTAGATTATCTGCCTTGATATTCTGGATTATATGGCTGTGTGGAAGGACCCATAGTTTCCATATTGCTACATCTTTTCCATCAGTGCCAGCATCTTTTCCCTTTCGACCCCTTTCACACAGCCATATAGTATTAAGGCAGAAAATCCCACAATGTTGTTGTTCATTCATTCAGTCGTCTCCGACTCTTCGTGACCTCATGGACCAGCCCACGCCAGAGCTCCCTGTCGGCCGTCACCACCCCCAGCTCCTTCAAGGTCAGTCCAGTCACTTCAAGGATGCCATCCATCCATCTTGCCCTTGGTCGGCCCCTCTTCCTTTTTCCTTCTACTTTCCCCAGCAATAATCCCACAATATCTGCTTTTAACTTGAATATATGGCAATGTGGACTCAGATAGCCCAATTCAAAGCAGATATGGTGGGATTTTTTGCCTTGATATTCTGGGATGTGTGTAGGGCTGTGCGGAAGGGCCCTTTGACTGCACTGCCATGTATTCCAGTTCAAAGCAGATAATGTGGGATTCTGTTCAGTTTTGTGGAAGGGGCCTTTTTCTCACCACATCTTCTCCCTTGGCTCCTGTGTTGACAAAACTTCTCTCTCAACTTCGATATTGCCACTCATCTTCGTTCTGCGCTTCCACGTGGCCATAACATCTCCCATATCACTGCATCTTCTCCTTCTACTCCTGCATTGCTACATCTTCTGTCTCAGCACCCACAGCATCACCTTCATTGTCATAAACTCACTATTCACTTCCGTTGCCATGCACCATCTTTTAACTCGCCTGTTCCTCTAATCACCTCTCTTTGCTTCCTTATTGCTACTTCTTCTCCCTCAGCCCCAGCATCAGTGCATCTTCTTCTTTTCTCTTGTGTCGCCACATGCTCTTCTACATTGACACAACTTCTCCCTCAACTTACATATCATCACTCATCTTCCCT